AACAAATTAACATAGAACAGATACACAGGGCAACAGACAAAAATGATTTTTTCCCCATCAGATATGAAAACTACCATAAAAATAAGGTTTATCAATAGGAGACATAACAAGCAAACAATTTGCAATGACATGATAAATTTGTTATCTAAGGCTCTGATCTCTCACAAAAAATGTGTGTAAAAGTCTCAAAGGGGTAGCCGTGGTAGTCTGTAACTTAAAAAAAAGTAAACAAGTGGTCCTGTAGCACCTTAGGGTATGTCTAAACCATGTTCTATTTTCAAAAGGGGATATGCAAATTCCGCAGAGCTTTCGAAAGTGAAAGTAGTCTGGACGTGGGTTTTTTTGCTTTTGAAAGTGAAAGTAGTCTGGACGCATTTTTTTGGGGGGGGGAACCCTTTTTTGAAAAAAATGCATAAACCTCATTTTTAAAGGAAGGGCAGTTTTTTCAAAAAAAGGTTTTCTTCCCCAAAAACCCCCGCATCCAGACTACTTTCACTTTTGAAAGGTCTGCTTTCGAAAGTAAGATCGAAAGAAGCTATGCAAATCCCACGGAATTTGCATATCCTCTTTCGAAAATAGAGCGTAGTCTAGACATAGCCTTACAGACTAACAAAATATATATATAGTACCATGAGCTTTTGTTGTTACAACCCACTTCTTCAGATGAGTGGAGCAAGCACAGAAGCCCCAAAATATAAAATATGTGATTAGCTCCACTACTTTTGACTTCAATGCATAAAATAATTCCCTTGTCTAAGAGTCTGCATAACTAGAAACTTTCTTTTGAGGCCTAGTCCAAAATCCACTGAAGTCAACAGGATTTTTCTAATGATGTCTTCAGTGGGTTTTGGATCAGATGCTTTCTGACCTAACTTGGATACTATCTGGACCAGCTGATCAGTATTTATTCACATTTTTCTAATATTATCTTTGCTTTTGATTGATAGAACTATTTAAAGGCCAAGATTTTCAAAGGTGATTGGTGATTTTGAGGACAGACACACCTTATATGGTCCTGATTTTCAAAAGGTGTTCAGAACTCACCCTTCAAAAAGTCAAAATCTCTTAAGGAATCACAAGTAAGTCACCTGAAAAATGAGGATCCCTATAATAATCACAAATCACTTGTGTAAACTTCCTTCCTTCCTTTATTGTTCCAAATTTCTTTACTATCTATATTTTGTATGCCACAAAACAATACTTCAGCTATTGCTCAAAACCCCGAAACATATTTAATTCATTTTATAGAGATGGCACTGTATACTACTAAAGTTGTATATTTGGGTGAAATTATAATTGTTACCTGTTCAGCAAAAAAGGAGATGACCGTAAACACAATCAATGTCACTAACACACAATGGGTCCAAAATTTTAGCTTGTCTCTGTATGCTCTCCTGTACAAAGATGGAAACAGAGTTTTATATATAAATGTTTGTACCTTTGCACTGACATATTGTTGTGTTCCTAATATTCCATGAAGTAAAAATATGCTCTATTGTGTAACAATTTACCACTATATAACTTGGTTTAAAAAAGCAAAATTATTATTTGTAATTAATATTTTTATCATAACTCTTCTTTGTTTCCAGTGAACTACTTCAGTAGCATGCTGGAACAGATCTTGGGATCTGTCCACAGTCTATCACTTCAAATGTAACATGGCTTAAATGCAATCATAGCTAAAAATGGATTTCTAACAGCATTTCAACATGCCCTAACCATGGTAATCCGAATGTTCAAAAGGGGCACATGTGAGGCCTGCAGAAAGAAACTAGGGAAGAGCAGAAGGTTGGAAGGCCCCTTGGGAAACAGAAGCATGGGGGGGAGGGACCTGGTATGAGCCTGGAATCAGCTCTCCCAGCTCGCGCTGGGTCCCCAGTGCTGTGCACCAACCTTTTAAATGTATTAAGAGCTGGCAGGGCTTGGGCCACGTAGCTATAGCAACTGCTCCTCCAGCAACCAGGGCTACAGGGCAGAACAACAGGTGGCTGCTTCAAGGGCTGGGGCGGATATGTAGGTGGCCAGCCCTTATAGAGGAGAGGGGCTGCTCCAGGGGCTGGGGGTGCTCCCGGGGCAGCTGGCCTAAATGGCAGAGTGGGGCTGTTTCAGGGACAGCTAGGCCACAGGGGGAGTGGGGCATCCCTGAGCTGGCTGCTGGGAGCAGGCTGAAGCTGGGCTGGGGCGAGGCAGCCATGGGGAGGAGGGCGGCTTGCTCTGCAGTACTGTTTTCCTGCTTCTTCCAGCCCCTCCGCTGCTTTCACCTCACAGTTCTGCCCCCATCTCCTCCAGCCCACTGCTCTCCGCCCTGTTGCACAGCCCCAGCCGTGCAGCCTCAGTTCTCCCCACTCTGCTTGCCTCCCTTTCTGCCTCGCGGTGCCCCCAGCAGGCGGACTAAAGACAGCGCTGAAGTCACACCCAACTGACAGCTCCGCCACCGCCAGGCCCCTGCCAGAGGATGAGTGCTGCCTGGGCTGTGGCTTCGAGGCTGGGCAGTGGCAAGGGCAGCTGAGGGAGGAGGAAAACACAGGAGGGTGTCCCCCTACCCCAAAGCTGCATTGGCCCCTGGGTGATTAGCAGGAAGGCAAGGGCACCATGGACCAGATCCCTATGGGACCCTGCCCCCAGTAGAGTTGGACACCCTGGGGTCACCCACCCACCCCCGCCTTGCCCATTTCCCTGAAGCCCCCCCCTTTCCTCTTCCCCGCCGAGCCACTCTGACTCCAACCCATGCCGATCATCCAGCATTGCCACCTCCTCCCCAACATGACTGGAGCCAGCGCTGGCTTCCTTTGCTGGGGAAGCCCCATGGCTCCGCACCGCATCCAGCTTCCGGGGAAGCGTGCCCGCACTGCTCCTCCCCTCCCCACAAGAAAAGCCAGAGTGGAGCCCAGTGCAGGAGACCAAGCGGGACGCACAGTGGAGAGAGCCCCTCTCTTCCTCCCTGGAGAGCAGCATGGCCCAGGCCAGGAGGAGTGCTGACCCCTGGACTAGATGATCATAATGATCCCTTCTGTCCTTGGAATCTAATAATCTATGCCTTATTGCTTCTCTCCTTCTTTTCCCCTTCTTCTTCTGTGAAAATGGCTTCAGGCTGCTGACAGGAAGACAGTGAGCTCTTCCTGCAACAGCTCTAACTGGCTGGTCTGTCCAAGGAGGTGGATAAATTGGGCCGCAATCAATCAGGAAGTCCTCCACAAGGCAGGGCTCAAATCTGCCAGAGGGACAGAGCTTCTTACATCATCATGAGACCAGGCTCCAGTCTCTGCCAAAATCTTGTCATTCATGAAAAAAATGTCATGAGAATTGGCAACAATGATTTTATCTTCAGCAGATATTTGATAATTTCCAAGTCTAATCTGAAACTAAACTTTAGATCAAGATGGTAATTTATTTGTATTATCTCTTCTGTTGATTAAAGTTTGAGTTTAGCTTATGTTATCTGATTGTTATCTGAAAGTTAAAAAGACACTTAATGAGAAGTTGTAATACTAGTTAGGGATGTGAATGTATAACTGTGAAAACAGTTAATTGATAAGCCTGTTCTTATCAAATAACGTTCATGGTTACATGCAGGCTTCTGCCGTGCTCCAGAGGAAACGGCTGCCATTCTGCGCTGCTGCTTCTGTAGCAGAGGCAGCAGTGCAGGGGTAGCAGCAGTGCACCGTCTCCCAGGGAACCACCTGCCACCCTGCAATCAGAGGCTGCAGCATAGGGAGGCAAGTGGGAGCCAGTAGCTGAGTTTGTCAGCAGTTACACATGTTTTAACATCTAATACTAGTGCAACAAATAGTCCCAAAAGGAAATAATACTAAACAACATCTGGAGCAGTGATGGGCAACCCAGGCTAGTGAGTGGGCTTCATGAGCGGTCCTCCTTCATTTAAGTGGGCCACTAGGTTGTAATAACCAAGATGGTCTCCCAGGATACGGTAGTTTTGTTAAGTGCACTTGCACACCTAAGTTTGCAAGGTGAGCTGGCTGAAATGCAGCCGCACTTTGATTGGATGCAGAAGGCACGCATGGCTCTCACACTGAAATGCTGTGTGCAATCAGAACACATCTCATTTCATGTGTCCTTGCTTTATGTGCATGTCAGTTTAGTAATATCAGTAGGAGAAAAATTATGTGAACAGAAACCAGTGAAATCTGGTAACCCTGTGTGCGAGCAACAGTAAACAAAAACTTATCGCAGGCCCCCCCAAAAAACTCTGGTTGCCTACCAATGACTGGGAGAAACAGCACCATTGAGTTAGATGCTGATGCAGTACAATAGTGCATGCAGAATGTGGAAGAGAATCTGTAAAATTTACCATTCCTGAAGCTCTTGCATATGAAGGAAGCGATTCCGATATTCTCTTGGCAGCTCAAATTGAGATGCTATGGGAAACATTGATTCATAAAAGTCCCTAAGTACTGCCTTCACTGTCTGAGCATCCTTATGACTGTGATCAATGTTGTCATTTAGGCAGACAAATTTTCTGGAAAAATTAAGAGTCAGTGTTAGCTTTGTTATCATACTAAACGAAGTATCCTATTTGCAAACTGTATTTTTGGTGGATATAGATATATTGGAATACAGTAACAGAACTCATTTTTTCACGATCAGATTAATCTTTTGGCTGTTAGAAGTCAAGGCCATCCTTATCCTCTAAGCACACAGGATGGCAAGGAATTCATATATCTCTTGTACCTAACAACATATTATATTTGCATCTGTCCTGTACCACGTGTGTATGTGCACTTCTGCCCTCTAATGCAATTAATGGCAGATGTTTACGAGCCATCTCATAGCCCTCTGTGATTATAAACATCACAATGAAGGTACAAATTACAACATTAGCAAGACATTTCATGAGTAACTAATAATACATGTTATTCTCTGATTATCATAAATGATACATTGAGTTGCAATTTATTAGGTGCTGTAGTACAATACTAATAGTTTAACCATTTATATTGCTTTTTTCAGAGGCTCCCATGTGAAGCAGTACAAAGTTAACAGTATTACTGAGGGCTGACCTGAATAATCTTTATTGGTGATGACATACAAGCCAGACAGAACATAACTCAACTTGCAGATCCAAGCTGAGCTTACAGGTCTGGTATCCAGAACACCACCCTCCTCCTCCCCCCGCCAAACTTTTACTAGTAAACTATGTAACTTAAAAGTTCATCTCTCTCATCAACAGAAGTTGGTCCAATAAAAGATATTACCTGACCCACCTTATCTCTAGGATTTATAGGAAAAATCACCAATTAACTGGAATACAGACAAAAGACACTTGAATAGAGTCCAAATACAAAGGCATTGAGATCTAGGTAGTGAAATTTGCTGTAGCTGAAGAAGCATATAGTGTGCCTGACAGTTGTATGACTTTGCCACTCCGAGGTGGTGTTTGGTGGCAAAATGCCCTTTCCTACATATGGGCAAGATTTTGTGCCCTATTTATACTGCAAGACAAAAGAGTCTTACTTTTTCCCCAGAGAAATAAAACATATCTGGTTACATATGCCTTGTAACTGCTAACCTTTGCGAAGAAATGGGCTCAGTCAGCTGCTGTATAGTATAAAATGTCCTTTCAAAGGGAAGAGAAAATAGTATTTTTCATGTATTTAGCACCTGGCCTTCAAAGAGATCTCAAAATGGCTCACCAGCTACCTACGTAAAGCTTCACTATCAACACGCTACTCTCTCTGAGGTGAAGGACACTGTCTGCCTAGATCTTTATACTCTGCCCATTACCTTCAAATGTGTGGCAACCAAATACTGTGCGCTATACAAAAGCGCACAAACAATATTTTGTCAAAGTAGAATGAGGCAAATCAAATGGATATTTAATATCCAACAAGAATAGAAAGTACCTCTGTTATCAAGGTTTTGTCTGAGACTATCAGACAGAAAACAAAGACATTTTATACATCTGCTGCACAAGATGGAAGGACTAGTTCAGTTCTTTCAGGTTGTGAACCTACTGGTTTAAAAGTTCTTGGTATTCAAAATGATACCTATATGAAGCTTTTGCTTGGAACACTTTGTAAAAACCACTTACATGGATTAGTAAATGAGCAAATAATACTCATGATTAAGTGTAAAGCACTGAATGAGGCTCTACAACAAGGATGGGGAATCGTTTTTGAGTCAGGGTGGATGACCCACAGAAAAATCAGTCAGGGGCCAGGGGCTGTGGGCAGGCAACAGGAGGGCTCGAGTGCACCTGACCCTTGGGTCTTAGGTTCTCCACCCCTGATTTACAAAGTTCGGTAAGTATTATCACATTTTACACATGAGGAAAGCGGGACATGGAGAAATTAAGTGATCTGCCCAAGCTCCCACAATTCTTTCGACTCTGCATCTCCTGCTCTAACACATAATGCTGCCTACAAGTTACTCCAAAAGTGTAATAGCAACAGTTAAGCATTAACATTACTATTTTCTTACCACTCTTTACAGAGTTCATTATAATTGAAGGTACATCTACAAGTGAATGGCAACCCACAACAAGGAGTATCAAAGCATGGGCTCACAAGGCTCATGCTACAGCATTACAATTAGCTAAGCAAGGGTTGCAGCTCGGGCTAGAGTTTGGACTCTGAAGCCTATCTTCCCTTCTAGGCTTCAGTGTCTAAGCTCCAGTCTGAGCTTCAGCATCTACACAGCTACATTTGTAGTACCACAGCACAAGCCCGAGTCTGTCAAACAGGGTTCTGAGACTCACTGCCACAGGCTGTGTACACATATGCTGAGGGGGTGAGTAGGTAGGGCAAAACATTTGACATTATATTCAAAGTAAATCACCACACTAATTTTGTAACAGAGGTTCTTTCAAAAATTTTAGACAAGTACAATCTGTAATATTTAGTGTCTTCAAATGTTTAATAATATTTAAAAATATATGTGCAAAATTGATTAACAAGTGGCCTTATTCTTTAAAGTCTGTGACGTGATATGTTTATGATCTGTAGAATCCTATTCAAGATTCAACTCCTTTCTGCACATTTCCAATGGTTTTATAAATAAGAAAACATTAGCAGTAGTGAATGAAAAAGTCAGATAACAAGATTTCAAGTTATTCTACATAAAAGTTCTTCACAATTTTCATCACATTTTCCAGAATACTAAATGGCTGTCGTTTATTACAAAAATGAAAATTACGTGGCAGAAAAAGCATGGAATGAAAATAAGTTGCAGTACTAGTGACAGAATATTTTTTATTTATGATTAATACTGCAACCTGAGGTTTAGAAAATATGTTTTAGTTACAATTGCCTTACATCTAATAAATATTATTAAGAGTATACTATAAAACAAAGGTGCTTGATGCTGTCTCAAGGAAAATAAAGCAATTGGAAAACAACATATACCTGGGATTTTTCCTTATGTCATCTAGCTGACCAACTACATGCGAAACGTTGGTGCGGATCATTTTGAAAGCAATTTCTTCTTCTCCCATGATTTCAAATCTTAGTAATATTAAAATAATTTTTAGATTAGCATAATAGCATGAATCAAGCAGAACAAACATGACATTCTACAGATTAAATGTCTTATTGCTGCACTGCCCTGTATTTGATTATCCCTTTCCTCCCCGACCAACAATAGTTTAAAATTTTATTCATATCTGTCTGAATATATTTACTCAAGGAAGGTAACTCTCTACAGCTGGTGCTCTTCCACAGAATCTCTTTTCTGTACATTTTTTAAAAATTAGTTACTTAACTGTTGGAAAATTAAGACCTGAATTCTCACACACACATTAGTTAACTACAGGTCTCAGGAAGAATATTAGATTTCCTGTAATCTCTCTTCATCCCTCCCTCCCTCCTCTTCACTCCTCACACTAAAAGTCCAAAGGAAAAAAACCGAAATATTGTAATTATAGAGGACTATGTAAAACTATAATCTTATGATCAATTCCTGCAAAGGCTCACACTTCTGCTTAACTTGACAAACTGAGATTAGTTCTGCCTTCAAATGAAACTACTGTGTGTGTAAAGGTGCACAAGTCTTTGCAGGATGTGGGCCTTACAATTAAATGCAATACATTACAAATATTGATAAAGCTGTCAATGTATGAAGTGTAGCGATGTAAAATCCCATTTAATTAGTTAAGTGGCTAAATATTACGTTTAACCAGTTAACTGATTAAATGGAGTTGAGCAGAAAGAGGCCATTCTAACAGGCTGGGGTGGTGCAGTTCCCCCCACCCACGCTGGAATGGCCCCCATGCCACAGGCAAGGGCTGCTTTAGCCCAGCTGCTACCGATCTCACAATGGGAGTTGGCAGGCCTCCCCTCCCCACTTCTGCCACTCTACTACCCCAGTGCAAGACTGCCAATTCCCAGCCCATGTGGACTGGGAGCCAGTAGCCCCATAGAACTGGAGCAGCCCTCCACTCGCAGTGAGCTGTAGGCAGGAGGCTGCTCCCAGGTAATGGTTAACAGTTACCCAATAAGCATAATCTGTTAAGGGTGATGCTTACAGGATAATCTGTTAACTGTTCACCTCCTTAATGAAGTATACAGTCTCAAAAAGAAATCTAGAGGCTAAAAGGACCTTTGAAGTCCCATTTAACTGTCCCACAAAAAATGTCATTCCTTTTTTCATGCTGCTCCCCTATGGTTGGTATATTCTCCTCATTCTGTCAGGCCAAACCACTTGCACCTCTTAATTTAAATTCCTCCAGAAAACTCCCTCCTTTTAACTATGTCCATAAAAACAAGTTTACTACTGAATATTGACTTAATACAGCTTTATTATGCAGAAGAAAAATGCTGCTTTTAACCATTGTACTTTAAATGCAACAAGCACACAGCTGCCTTACATTGTCAAATCTTTTAAAAAAAACTCTCTAGTTTACATTTAACAGTGTGAGTGTGTGTACGTGTGCACTGCTGCCTAATTGCATACTTCCGACTCAAATCGCGTGTGTAGTTGATTGATCAGTTCATAACTCTGGTGTTCATAACTCTGATGCTTGACTACACTACTAGATTCTGTGGCCACTTAAGTAAAGGGAGGCAAGTTTCAATGGCCTCACAAACTTCTCTCCCATCTTGGGAGAGGAGTCTGTGACTGTCAGACTTTCTGGCATATGTGTCATTGGGGAAATGAGGTCCATCCTGGCTGAAAGAGCACTAAAGAGACTAAATAGGTTGTGCAGCGAGTTATTTTACCTGGCTATTAGATCTGACAGAACCCTCAGCTCAAGAGTTCAGACAGATTCCCAACACACATGGGGGGCAGGACAACAATGACCCTGCTCCAAACTAACAGAGGAATCCCATTCTAAATTCTCAATGCACTTATTTCCTTGCAGGAAACACATAAGGCAGCTTGGGCTGCAGCACCTTTCTTCCCCAGGAGGAGGGGAGATGAGATTGCTTAAGAGGGGAGCCCAGATTAACACCTACCATATGCAAAGGAAAGGAAAATCCTTCTGCATCCTTTTATGCTCTGCCTCAGTATCAGTCTGTGCTGCATGCAGTCCACCTAGAGCTCTTAAGCCAGGTCTACACTTACCCTGAGATCGACAACCCTGCCATTCTCCAGGCCCGGGCCCGGGAGCTGCAGGAAGGGAAAGGGCCAGGCAGGAATGGGGACCGAGTGGAGCTGGCAGGAGCAGCAGCAGCAGCGCCTGGAGCGACGGGGCAGCAAGTGGGGCCATTCTTGCCCGCGCCTGGGGGCTGCAGGGAAGGAAGGGGCCAGGCCACCCGAATCAACTACTGTACTGTTCAGGTAATCCGTATTATCTGACATTTTCGTTAATCCGACCACCTATCAGTCCCGTTTAGATCGGATAATCGGGAATCTACTGTACATTCAAAGGAGGAATGTGTAAGAGCCTATCGACTAGTCGATGGAAATTCCATGAACTAGTCAATTAACCACATTTTAACATCTTTATGCCATAACAGAAATACACAAGCAAAGTCTCACAGGGGTAGCCATGTTAGTCTGTAACTAAAAAAAATTAAACAATGGTCCTGTAGCACCGTAGAGACTAACCAAAAATATATACAGATATTATCGTGAGCACAACTCACTTCTTCAAGAAAAGAACCCAAGAAAAGTTATCAGAGATTCTCTGCTGCTTTCCCAGAAGTATCTGAATGACACTATTAAATGCATGGCAACCCTCCCCCTTCTGGCCATCTCCACCCTCTTCCCACTTCTGTCCCTTTTCTTCTTTCCCCCTCCTCTGAAGTTTGCATCTGTTCTTTTTCTTATTCTAATAATATTTTTTCTTCAATTTTTCTGTACATAAAACAAGGATAAGGCAGAAAAAGATGTAAAACGAACTGTATTTTTATAAACAAATTTTTTCTGTTTGTAAACTGTGTAATACAAATATAAATTAGTTATTTTAAACTTTCATATTACATATAGTTAAATGTTTCCAGTACAGTGAAGGTTAAGTAGCAAATGGTTATTATTAGAAATGTATGTATAATTTGATCTGTTTCATATGTGTGTGTGTATAAAAATAAATAAAATGTAATAAAGAGTAAATAGAAAAAATAAGTAGTTATTAATTTTGTTTTTTCACTAATCTGCCTTTTTTAAATACCACTAATAGGAGCACTGAATTAAATGTATTTTAACATGTTCAGTTATGTATTTTCACTCTGCATCTTATTGCTATGACTAACAAATGTTATAAAACAAGTATAAACATTAAAAGTAGTATAACATACCTATATTTGTTTTTGTCTTTGTATGCTTTACGAATTCTGTCAGTCACAGGCTTACAATTATTTACTAGATTTTTCGTCACTGGAGGCTGTAAAAAAAATACAACTGGGGTAAACAATATCCTTGCATAACTGCTCTATAAACAATATTATTAAGTCTCCTGGAAAGAAATGCATTATAAAAAGAACAGAGTTCTACAGTCTTCAGAGAACTGCACAAAACTTTCCCCCTAGGATGAAAAGCAATAAAGAGTATGTATTGTGAAAAACAACCAGTTTGCTGTAAAAAAAGAAGGAATGTTGATACATTCTAATATCAGTATTTGTTATACAATAAAAGTCATTTTATCTAGCACTTCACCAATCAGCACACTCAACAAACTGGCATTTTTGATCTGCACAGAAAGTCCGGTTTACTATGCGGTTGGTGCAGGGCTAGCCGGGAACTGGGGGCATGAGAGGGGCTGCAAGGTATGATCTTGGAAGGAGTTTGGGTCCTGAAGGAGGCTTAAGGCAGGGATTGTGATGCAGGAGGGATTTGGGGTGCCATATAGGAGGGGCACTCACCTCTGGTGGTCCCCACAAGTTGCTCCCCATCCCTGCTCTTGCTGGTGGAGGCATGGCTAGGCAGCTCTGGAGCCAGGCTCTGGGGGCATGAGAGGGGCTGCAAGGTATGATCTTGGAAGGAGTTTGGGTCCTGAAGGAGGCTTAAGGCAGGGATTGTGATGCAGGAGGGATTTGGGGTGCCATATAGGAGGGGCACTCACCTCTGGTGGTCCCCACAAGTTGCTCCCCATCCCTGCTCTTGCTGGTGGAGGCATGGCTAGGCAGCTCTGGAGCCAGGCTATAAACAATATTATTAAGTCTCCTGGAAAGAAATGCATTATAAAAAGAACAGAGTTCTACAGTCTTCAGAGAACTGCACAAAACTTTCCCCCTAGGATGAAAAGCAATAAAGAGTATGTATTGTGAAAAACAACCAGTTTGCTGTAAAAAAAGAAGGAATGTTGATACATTCTAATATCAGTATTTGTTATACAATAAAAGTCATTTTATCTAGCACTTCACCAATCAGCACACTCAACAAACTGGCATTTTTGATCTGCACAGAAAGTCCGGTTTACTATGCGGTTGGTGCAGGGCTAGCCGGGAACTGGGGGCATGAGAGGGGCTGCAAGGTATGATCTTGGAAGGAGTTTGGGTCCTGAAGGAGGCTTAAGGCAGGGATTGTGATGCAGGAGGGATTTGGGGTGCCATATAGGAGGGGCACTCACCTCTGGTGGTCCCCACAAGTTGCTCCCCATCCCTGCTCTTGCTGGTGGAGGCATGGCTAGGCAGCTCTGGAGGCAAGCTGCCTCTAACCCCTCTCCCCAAGTACCGATTCTGTGGCTCCCAGCCTACTGGCCAGGAACCGCAGGCTACAGATGCTGAGCCTGCTTACAGCAGAGCTGCCTGACCATGCTTCCACCAGGATCAGCAGGGATGGGGAGCTGATTGTGGAAGTTGCCTGAAGGGAGCATCTGCCCCCATTCTGGCACTCCAAACACTTCCTGCACCCCAAGTTTCTGCTGGACCCAAGCTCCCTCCCCCTGCCATATCCATGACCCACTCTCCAAACGCCTCCATCTTAGTTAACTGGCTTTTTTAATTTACCAGTACACCCCTCTTCTTCCCCATTCTTCCACCATATTGGATAAAAGGGCTTGTATTGTACTTTCTATTTAGCTTCTGGATTCCATCCCCCAAACAATATTCACTAGTTGAAGCAGGCTGGACAGCTGAT